TTGTGCTTGTTGCTCTTGTTTGCACCACAAATGGTAGGAAGCTTGTGAGCTCAAAGGGTTCTTTCGATGATGACAAAACTCTCTTTCATCGACCAGGATTCGGTGGTGGGCTAGGCGGTGGAAGTGGAGGGTTAGGCGGCGGTTCTGGTTTTGGTGGTGGGGCTGGTTATGGTGGGGGTGCCGGTGGCGGTGGTGGACTTGGGGGAGGCGGGGGTGGAGGGTTTGGTGGTGGTGGTGGAGGAGGATTAGGTGGAGGGTCTGGTTTTGGAGCTGGTGGTGGATATGGAGGTGGAGCAGGGGCTGGTGGTGGGCTTGGAGGAGGAGGTGGTGGAGGCTTTGGTGGCGGCGGCGGAGGTGGTCTTGGTGGTGGAGCTGGCGGTGGTGCCGGTGGTGGATATGGTGGAGGAGCGGGTGGTGGGATTGGAGGAGGTGGATTTCCTTGAGAACTATAGCTCCAGTCCATTAATTATCACTGGTTTGCAAACATACTAGTATTGTTTATGGGAGCTCATGGAGACTTTCTTTCCTGCTTTTTTCGTTTCTTTGTATCTTTTGTTTTAGTGTCAAAGTGACAAATAAACTCTTTGAAATCATATTAGTATTATGGTTTTTATTGTCTACTTGCTCTCTCTCTCTCTCTCTCTCTCGCCATATCATAAGATTGATCATGTTAAACCTAATGAGATAAAAAAGATTGACAAACTTGAAGTTGCTCCAAATTCAAATCTCAAGCAGTGTTCTGAATGTAGAATGTGTGATATAATCTACTTTCTAACTTTAGAAGCAGATGTCAAGTTCAGAAAGAGCTCCAAAGTATGATCCTTTTCGCATAAAGAGATCTCATCTGATTAATTACATGAATCACACCAACCTACCAAAAGTTAATTTAGAGATTTGTCGTGCCTCGGAACACCACCAGAACATGCACTTTTTGTTTAATGGGCAATGAATTACAGAACACACTGCATCTTGGAGAAATTTTTGTGCGGGTTTAACACATCATATGGTAGTGTCACGTGGTGTACATCATCTATCTTTGTTAATTTTTTTTTCCGAAAATGCCAACTTGTGTATTTAGTTTTGTAATAATTTTTCATTGGGTTTGCATACCACATGATAGTATTGTATTAAACTCATTCTAACTTTTCTCCGCAATTAGCCATGCAAAAATATTATTGGTGATTAACATGGATCTGAGATTAGTGTAACAAATGCATCAATTAAAATTAATTACAATGTACTTCGAAGTTGCTTTCTCGGATTTTTTTAAATTTCCCGTGGATTATTTCTTCGATTTCCATCGTTTTCCATAAACTAATNCCAAAGAAAAAATAAAATAAAAAATTGTAATCCAAGATGCTCTCTCAACAGGTAAGAAACTTTATTTATATTAAAGTCTAAGTACAGGTAGAGGCCTATGATTGACTTGGAAGTAATTCATTTCCAAAAATAAGTANTCAAAGAAAAAATAAAATAAAACATTGTAATCCAAGATGCTCTCTCAACAGGTAAGAAACTTTATTTATATTAAAGTCCAAGTACAGGTAGAGGCCTATGATTGACTTGGAAGTAATTCATTTCCAAAAATAAGTATTTTTAAATCAAATCTCGTGCATCAAAACTTGGGGGCACACATATCATATCTGCTCAAACTTCGAGTTCNAGTAAATATACCACTAAAATTATAAATATTCCCACAAATTTAGTAAATATTCCCACAAATTTTGTAATTTTATTCACTACTGTTGTAAANACTCAAACTTCGAGTTCAATTTTTGCATAGTTAAAGGCTGATTCACAAATTTTTATAAAATACAATTTTATACATCTTGAAGTCTTCTTTCCAATGTTGCAAAAATCAAATTTATTGAACATCAGAGTCAAAAGTTTTGACCAAATTATTGAAGATGTGTCAAAACTGTATATTCTNAAATTTTGTTCACTATAGTCATAAATTTCTCACTAATGTTGTAATTTTGCTCTCAATTGACTTAATGACAGCTCAAAAATATGTTTCGTCTTGTATTATCTGTCAATCGGTGTAAATATACTATCAATTTAGTAAACATACCATTAATGTTGNGCTCAAACTTCGAGTTCAATTTTTGCATAGTTAAAGGCTAATTCACAAATTTTCATAAAATACAATTTTATACATCTTGAAGTCTTCTTTCCAATGTTGCAAAAATCAAATTTATCGAACATCAGAGTCAAAAGTTTTGACCAAATTATTGAAGATGTGTCAAAACTGTATATTCTAAATTTTTTATCCAAATCGTATCTTTTAAAATTCTTTTCTAATCCACCTATATGANATTAGGTACCAAAAATACCCTTGGATGTACGGTAACCTTCTCCTTCTACTAATACCATCTGACATGTCATTTCAATGTCTTGTCATGTCCACCAAATCGGTACCAAACAAGTTGGCAGTTCACTCTTTGTCAATTTTTTTTAAAAGATACATTAATTAACGCTTCACTTTTGGTCTATCATAGATCAACGGTGGACATTGAATTTCGGTATGATACCGAAATTCTCAATGGATGTTCCATAGTCGGGTCCCTAATGAAGATAGACAGGAGACTCGAGAGAACACATCCCTTAAGCAATATAACCCTCAAGATGATGTTCCAGAAGACTCGGGGGGGTCTCAGCCTTCATGAAACTAATAAGGTCCTTGGAGGACCAACAAGATGCTCGAGACGCCATGCTCCAAAGGTCACAAGAAGAGGACGAAAAGCTTAAATGGGAGAATGAGGCATTACAAGAAGCCTTGAGGAGTTCACAAGACCAAGAGGTAATCAAAAGGTCTGACCGAGAGGGGACTGACGTCAAGGGGGAGTTTTGTCATGCTGATCGTAGACAAAGCCCAGCCAAACGAAGATACTAACGCGGAGATGACACACGTGACAGGCAGTGGAGGTAGAAATTAGCTCGGGTTGAAGATCAGGAAGACAATTGGAGGCGTGTTACAACCAAGGAACTGATTAGCTGCCTAAAGCATCCCGAATGCCAGACTGCAAGGGATGGGGCTAGGAGATCCATAACAGAATACTTGTGGGGAGTGGAGGTGTCCCACTTCACTCAATGGATAGAAGAAGAGAGGATACCCACCAAGTTTGTGATGCCAAATTTCAAGTTCTATGATGGCAAAATCGATCCTTCTGCCCATATACACCATTATAGATAGCTTATGGCAATGCTAAGAAAAAACAAAGCCCTAATGTGTACCATATTCTCGAGTAGCTTGGGAGTGTTGGTCATGAAGTGGTACGACTACCTCCCAAGGAATTCAATTGATAATTGGGTGTTACTGACCGAATAGTTGACTGCTCGGTTTATTACCAGCAGCAAGAACCCAAAAGTTATTGGGGTGATGTTTTCTCTGAAGAAGAAGCAGGAGGATACATTGTGGAGTATGCTCATCGTTACTTGGAGATCATGAATGAGATAGAAAATTACAATCCTGAGATTACAACCACATCATTCAAGATTGGGGTAACGAAAGAGAACCCGTTGTACTAGTCATTGACTAGATGCCTTGCCCTTGATATGGAGGAGTTGCTGGCCATGGTGAAAAAGTATGTCATGGTAGAAGACAAACTCAGTAGAGAGTTTTCGACCGATCAGCCGAGCAGAAAAGCAAGTGACAAGGTTATGTAGATTCAAAGGCGTTCGGTGAACAAGGGTAACGAAAAGGACGGTTATTGCTTGATACCGAATAGCTGCACTTAAGTGGTCAAAAAGTAATAAATACTCTAAAGTCCAAGGTTATACAATAGAAATCGAAGAAATTATAAAAGTAGATAACAAAAGAACATGTAAAAATTAATTTTGAAAGTTGAAAGTATTTTATAAATAAAAGAAAATTTGTTTAAAGGGGATGTATCAATTGGAAAAATAACTCTTCAATTTCGAGATCTGAATCTATTTATGTTTACAAAAATATCTATGTTTATGGAATTATAATTTATCTCAGTTGATCTCCAAGCTCAATGTAGTCAACCAGAAGATTTAGCATGAAAAACACAAATTCAATTGATTTGAAAAAAACTAGTTCTATGAAATTCGTAAAGAATCATAAGCATTATTCATAACAAGAACTCAATCAAGTTAATGAATAATCAAATAATTGTATAGAGCATAGAACTTTTACTAAAAATATTCAATCAATCTATAATTTCAGAAAAAATATAACTTTAAAGCCTAAAGAAAATAATTGTATAAAACATAAATATTTAATTCACAATTTTAGATCCACCCAAACTAAAGAGTACAACAAGAAATTACTCACAAGACATTACTAATCTTCAAAGAAAAAATAAAATAAAACATTGTAATCCAAGATGCTCTCTCAACAGGTAAGAAACTTTATTTATATTAAAGTCCAAGTACAGGTAGAGGCCTATGATTGACTTGGAAGTAATTCATTTCCAAAAATAAGTATTTTTAAATCAAATCTCGTGCATCAAAACTTGGGGGCACACATATCATATCTGCTCAAACTTCGAGTTCAATTTTTGCATAGTTAAAGGCTAATTCACAAATTTTCATAAAATACAATTTTATACATCTTGAAGTCTTCTTTCCAATGTTGCAAAAATCAAATTTATCGAACATCAGAGTCAAAAGTTTTGACCAAATTATTGAAGATGTGTCAAAACTGTATATTCTAAATTTTTTATCCAAATCGTATCTTTTAAAATTCTTTTCTAATCCACCTATATGAGTTTTCTACTAATTTGGAACCACAAGGATTAAATTGTTCTCTTATCTTCAAATCTTTATATTTTAATTGTGATTATTTAATCTTTACCAAATATCTCCTTCTGTGACTCTTCTTATGATGTTTGTTTCACTTACTTTATCTATTATTACTTCAAATCAACAAAATTACTTGCAAAATAAATTAAACCAGTAGAACAAGTATCAAGCTATAAAAACAACAAATCTAATACATTTCATTTCAAATAATATGTAATTAATCAATCATTAAATACAATAAAATAACACTTTTGATAATTAATCACAACCTCATCTTAAGTATTACTAGTCTCTAGTAATATATAGATCCCAAAAACTAAAAAATAAATAAAATAAAACACAAATCCACTTTCATAGGACTCACAATTGCAATTATCATATGCAACAAGCCTTTGAACACATAGGTTATTCCTAGTGGACGAGTATAGTCTTGTGAAAGTTTCCAATAAAGATACCTACAAACTTTAATTAATCTATTAATCCCTTGAATTTAACATATAACTTTAACCAGATAAAAAACAGTAATATATCTGATATAGACAAGAATAAGTTCATACCAAGCTAATTTATAGAATTAAAGACTATACAACAGTATTCACATATCAAATTTCCATTGAACCTTGTGTGTGGTGTGCAATTAACCACGCACAATCAAATAATCAGTCAAAAATAACTC